GTGCCTTGTCAAAGATCACAAGATGCACACACAATTCAAGTCCAACTTGTGATCATGCAGGGGCATCGGTCGCACATCTGTGGTTTGGTGACCATGTACTGGAGCACATATGTGGTGTGGTGACCATGCACCACTAGCAATCTCATAGTTCCCCATTTTTCGATGCCTAATTGCAACGCTGACGCCGAAACCTCTGGTCGGTTGAGTTGCTCCCAGCACATCGGCCCGTCGTCCCTACATCCCCTATGTTTTGTCCTTTACCTCGTTTCTTTTTGTTCTCCACCTGTTTTCCAGTAGGGCTGTGTTTAATAGTAGTAAAAATAAATTAAAAAGGTGCCATGTTTTACCTACTGTCACTATGCAGTACTTATGACAGCCATTTGCAGGTACGGTGACCGGACTATGCTGACTGTGCATGAGCTACGCGCCTGTCATGCATGTACGGTCAACCTTGCGAATAAAGTGACCCTGGATCGTGCCCGAGAAAGGTGTTGCTATTTGCGAGTTGTCGGTATTCGTGACGTTGAATGTTTGCAGTCAAATGGTCGCTAGGTCTGAAGAGTGTGTCTTTATCCCAGAGTTGTTCTTTTACCGGGTGTCCATGTCCACAAGGTTGAAAGTATCTCTGAGTGTATTGAATGCAACACGTCATACGGCTGTAACAACTGGTGCTTCATGTTATCACCCATCTTGTTTTCTGTTCAGTTGGTGCGCAAGAGTCACGAGTGCTTCAGCGATCTGCGAAGCCGTGCTGTGATCAGAATACAGAGAGTGCACGAAGTCAACATCGACAGCCAGGAAGCGATGTCCAACTCGCTGGATGTCGAGACCAAAAGGAAGCTGGACAAGCTGCAGGAGCTGTGAGTGTCTGATGTAGGCCATGCCATTCTGTATTGGTTTGTGTTACGCAGGGCTCGGGGTCTGTACAAGCTTTCTACTCTGTTCTGTTCTGTTACAAGGTTGGTGTACAAAATACGAAGACACTGCAACCATCCTACAGACCCTGTATGGGTTCCTTCAATCATTACGGATTCCTTCTGGTAACACAGGGGAGCATCCGTGATGTGCAGCACTGATCCATAGATAGTTACACTCTAGTACGTATATAGCATGTTTCACTCACAAACCAACTGTTCACTACATGGGGTACTAGTAGTGATCTACCAGAGAACACTCACCATCGTAGCATTGTTGTATGTTAGGCAGGTATGTTAGTCAGGTTGCTTTACCATCAGTTTAGTGTTTCAAGGTTAGTGTGCAGATTCCATGATGTAGATCGTGCAGGTAGTGACAGTCTCTATTCTTCTTCAGGATTCCTCCCGGTTATGACTGTTGAACCCTACACTTGTAGTGGGAATGCAGTAAGTTGAGGTGCCTACAAACATGTGTGGTGAGCACTTCATAGAAAAAGCTGAGGTTGCTCTTGTGCATGCTATTCCAATAGTGTAGACTTTTACCAGTGTGCACGGTCCAGTAATGTCGAGTCTACTTGTGGGTCATCAGTGCAGCACAGGAAATGCAGCCGGGCCTAGTACCAATGCTGGAAAATGCATTTCCCAAAGACGTTTGTCTTCCTCTGTGCTTACCTCTTTCCTCAGTGTTACTCACTTGTACAAATCTCACTACGCGTTGAAAGAGGAAGCAGCAATATCGCAGCAGCTAGTTAGTGAAATACAAGATACTTCCGGAGCCGGACAACCGTCACCAAGACACAATCCGTTGCCACGAGGCTGAGCTCTTTATGGCGTTATCATCTCGTACACCTGATGTGGCTGGTGTGGTTGCGTGGAGCCCAGGGACTTGCACCACGCACTGGTTGCCTCTGCTGCCGAGAGATGTGTTATAATCAGTGTGTGTGTGTGTGTGTGTGTGTGTGTGTATGTGTGTGTGTGTGTGCGTGTGTGTGTGTGTGTGTGTCTGTCTGTCTGTGTGGGTCTATCTGTGTGTCTGTTTATGTGCATGTGCCGGAGTATGGCATTGAGTTCTTGCCGCTATGATGATAGCGTTAAGTGAGAACTTGATGTGTGTGCATATGCACATGGCACCTTCTCCTTGGATGTGTTCTTGAGTGCCAGCATGGACAAGTGTGTACATGTTGTATTGCTGAATGAAGTTGGAGATGATTATTATGTGTGTTATTTCTCTATATTGTGTGGGAAACCTGATATCTGGAGCTCCTTATTTCAATTCAAAGTGAAGAACAGTGGACAGCTAGAAATGGGTGATGTATGTAGTTATTTTGCAGAAATGGATGTTTATTTTACAGAAATGGGTGATGCACACATGCATGTATATTGGGCATATTGAGTATGTAACCTGCTGAATCTATCGTTTTTTGTATATAATTGTTTGCACTCATTAGTGAGGTTTGAATGCACAGTCATGCCGTATATTTCAGAAAATATCGAAACATCCTTTTCACGATGTACAGGTGTGGCGACGTCACTGCCATGACTTCAGTCTCAGAGTCCCTCACTAACCCAGACCTATATGCATTGCTCACTCTTGCTCTTCTGCTGCTGTGCTGAACGGTGTTAGGGTTCATTTGTTAATTATTTTGGCCCGTGTTTTCAGCTTCGTCGCTTTTGTTTTTCAGGTCTTGTCTATAGTGTATATGATGTCCTGCGCCGTCCAAGTTTCTCTTTCGTTCTCTGCGCTCCGCTTGCTCTCTGGTAGGGGAGTACTGTAGCGACCACGCTGCCATGACTTCAGTCTCCCTCACCTGCCCAGACATTATGTACGTTTGTATGCATGCGCATTCACTTTCTCTTTCTCTTTATTGTAAATAAACCGTGAACAACAAGCGTTGACTCATTGTAGCCCTCTCCCCTGGAGTTGTAATTCCTTAGGCCCCAGCAGGGTGGTATGTTCCGGGGAACCATCTGTCTCCACGTGAACAGATATTTATAGGACATCTACATCGTACATGTAGCTCTGCCACCTTGGCTTGGGTGCCTAAACAGGCATACAGAGTCAGAACAAACATTTTAAATCACACTCTGTTTCTCTCAAGGATTTTGGCATAACGTTGCTCATGATGTTTTGTACATGAGTCATGCATGACTGTGGTCCAATGTGGATCTCTTGACTTGAGTTTGGGCTATCGTCTCGATTATCGTGGGTGAGAGGGGGGGGGGGGCTTCTCCATAGACTCTGCATGTCATCACCACCCATAGTGGGCCATGTAGAGTCGAAGGACTTCATCACTACAACAGACACGGACACAGACAGTGACCATAATTATGCATAGTGACTGACTGGTCTTTGGCCCTTATTTTGTTTGGGCTTGGCAGTGCAGTACCAAACACATACATAATATTATGTAACATACTGTGACTAGTGTGAGTGTGACATAATATTATTATTATTATTATTGTACAATTTGTAGTCTTTCCGACAAAAATAACAACCAGATATCATTATGCTAGGCGCTAGGCGTGAGTCGGAACGACGGAAGAGCATTTTCGTCAGGCGTGAATGAACCGCAGTGTCGACTATCGTCAAGTATCGACGAGTATCGACCTCTTCTTCTGTGACCAGTGACCGGTCCATGCTAACCAGTGACTCACTGCAGTGAGTTACAGTAACAACGATGACGGTGGTGACAACGTTTCGAGTTACTCGAACAGACGAACACTGAAGTAACGACGTAACGTAGTTACTAATACTAGTTACCGGTAGTTGTGAACAGGTCAACTCGTTGGCTACCTGAATGGGCCGTGAGTGTGATATGAACGCCCGCACTCTGGGGTGTTTGGACAATCATGTCGACAGGCAGACTTTGACAGCTGACGCGGATAAAGTTCTGGGAAGAAAACAGCTTGTAGCGGCTCGCACAACGCGAAGCTGCAAAACAGAGTAGCACCAAGCATGCAAGGCCGGGTAGATCTTGTTATAACTCGTTCACGTGCTCGGACTCTGTGTACATCACTTGTTGTTGGAAGCAGTTGTGTTTCTCGAAAAAATAATCTCCTCTCTTGTAGCGAACGTCCGGAACACTTGCAAGCATGCTGAAGGGCAAGGACTACGACTGGCAGGATAGCAACTTGGCCTTGTTTGGCTCGGACTTGGAGCGAAATGTAAGTGTGTGGTAGCACTCTGACAGTTATCACGGACAAGGACCAAGAATCTTTTTGTTATTTGGGATGGGGGAGAAAACTCCGGCGAGTACTCGGTGAAACAGCAGCCTCTCCCACGTCGGCTTTCGGCTGTCGCAGGCTGGCAGGGTATGCGAATCATTGTGGTGATGGCTTACCATTCCCATAAAAGCTGCATGTGGCTATAGCCATTGTCGGTGATGAGTACATGATTGTATGTGTGTTGCTTATTTGATTGGTTGTTGACTTTCAGGTGAAGAAAGCCGCTGCAGAGACGGAGCAGGCGTGGCACGGCTGCGGACAGGCAGTCGGACAGGAGATCTGGCGTATCGAGAAGTTCAAGGTTAGCGGAGAGTGTCCCGGTAGTTACGATACATGTGATGTGGGCATGCATGCCTACTGTCCGGATATCAGTAGAATGCCCTGTTTTTACCGACCTACCCCGTGGCACGATCATTATTCAATTATGCTCAAGTAAGATGTCATCTTCAAGATGACAATGTCATTGTCGATCTACATTTCGTCCCAGTGCCACTCTACCTTAGGCCCTATCCCAAAGTTCTCAGAAGCCCACAAAACGAAAAAAAGGTTTTGGGCAAGCAGGCGCGTAGCCCAAAATGGGGCAGGAGGGGCACGTGCACCGCCCCCCCCCCCCCCCCCCCCGAATTCACATCGCCACAGCGAACCCGTTACAGTCTTCAATTTTGAAGCTTACCCTGTTACGCGAAAAAAATCATTCGCCTTTGCCATTTCCACAGGCAATGGATACGCACAGTGTCATCGAACGAAAGTATCGTGGGCGCCAACAAAATGCAGCCTTAATCACATGAGCGCCGGCGAAGGGTCGCATGGCTCATCTCAGCGCCAACAATGCACAGCATTATTCATTTCAGCGCCAACAATGCACAGCAATATTCATTTCAGCGCCAAACACACTGAACGCACGATTGGAAAAGTTGATTAATGTGAAATAGAATGCGTACTCTGCAATGCTCATACAAACAATTCGCCATGACAATTTTATTATGAGAAGTTAGCAACGGGCAATGCCGCCTCAGAAATGGAGAAAATTGCCTACTGCGGATAAGAAGTGAGGTATGTCAATAGACCTTATGCCGGTCAGTACTAGTTGTACAGATTCACGAAATCCCGTAGAATCCCGTAGACCCGGTTGGGTGTTCATCGTGTGCTATGCATGTGCATTTGACCTCTTAGCCTCATAATTTATTGGCAAGCAATCGCTTTTCCAGCTTTTTCACTTTGGTTAGAACTGATCACTAGCTAGATCTTTGTCAGAAAAAGGATTTCGTATGAAATTCCTTCAGGCCCCATTTCTTAGTGGAAATAGCAGAAAACACAATAGGGTCCTGCACATTCAACACCCAACCGGGTCTACGGGATTTCGTGGATCTGTAGAACTTGTACTAACCGGCATAAGCCTTATATCTCCATTCGCCCGGCGATCATTCAGCACGGTGTACTTACGTCGACCCACTCTCACCGGCATGCCTTAGTCGATCTGGCCATTGACATGCTCTGTCCTGAGGTTTTCAGCTTGCAGCTTTTCCACTAATACCCACGTATTTGGATGATGTCTTCCAATCGTCCGGTTTAGTCTATTGCGAAACCTCTCTACAGCATTGTTGGTGCGCACATCCTTTCCTTGGCAATTCCAAACAACTGCAGGGACGGCAGGGTTGTTAAGCCACTGGTTATAGAAGTACTGGAAAAGATCCCACACGCGATTGTCTTCCATATATCCATATTGTCTTCAACCGTCTGCTCAACGAATGCGAAAGCGTGATCTACTTCAGCAACTGGCAGAAATGGCAAAGCCATCAATTGCCTGCAAGCACACAGGAAGAAATCATGCTCGCTGTACAACTGACTCAGGCCAAGATTCTGTATGTTTCGCCAAATGGCTTGACAGAAATGAAATAGGCAGCCATGTACGTCAGAGTTTGAAAACTCCTCGGCTATGGCCGACGTCAGAGTTTGGAAACTCCTCGGCTATGGCCGACATCAAGCTGACTTCGAAGTCTACTGTGCTGGTCTCTGGAGCAAGCTGAACGTGGATCGCCTCCGTTCCGTCCTTCAATTTACGAATAACGTTCTTGTAGCAACGCTTGGTCTTGCAGCCTGGCAGTAAGCAGTATGCGGCATATGGTAAAGTCTTCTTGTCCTTCAGGACATGGATGGTCAGTAGCTGTGTGAACAGTCACTCAGCGGAGGACATTCAGGTAACTGGTTGTTACTCTTGGTTGCATGCCGTTAGGCAATCATCAGGCAAGGTCTGTCTTGGGGCAGCCTTGAATGTCCCATCGAAATGCCATTTACGATTGTCCGCCAGCCACTGCAGAGCGGTATCTGTAATAAACACGATTGCACCGTCTTCCTCGCCTACGGTATTGCTCAGTAAAAATCGAGTCTGATGGTTGTCGCCAATATTCGCAAACACTGCTGGTATATCCACCAAATCCTGTGAAGTTTTCCGTAGAGGTGGGTAAACAGCTCGACGCGAACAGTAAAGTGAGGCAGATAGAGATGCTTCCGACGGTAGTGTGGATGCTGCCAGGACATCCATGTCGTGGAGTCCTCCGGCGACAGTAGAGTAAATTTGCGGAATCGGTTCGGTCGTTGTCGCTGCTTGTTCTTTCATTGTTGAAATGCAGCTTCTCTGGAGGCCCTCTTCCCTCCTTGGAGCATGACAATGTTCGGCGTGTCCGCGAGGGATAGGAATATCCTCAAAACCTTCGCTTTCCCTTCTAGCGCAGCAAGTTTCTTCCATGCACCGCCACAACAACCGTCCAGCTCGAGTGCACTTGCCCTGTCGGTAGCAGTAGCCACCAAGGCTGAATGCTTGTTTTCCACGACAAGTTGTGAAAGTAATGAATTCCATGATTCCAAGATTCAGAGATTCGAATTCATGATGACCTCTTGGTGTCTATGACAAGTATTTTATGCTTATTTCTACTTGGCGCTGAGGTATCAAGCGCTAACCACAACTCGCGCTGAGATATGCAGCGCTAACCGTTCTTAGCGCTGCATTGGCAAAGGCTTATAATTTCCAGCGCTGGGTAAAGATAAGCTGTCACAAAATAGGCAGAAATTCTCGGCGCCACAAACCCGTGTGCGCGTCACATTGATACTGATATAGTGAGTGCTACGGCGAGTGTGCTATGATGCGGAGTGTGGCTTCGGGTGCGCTGAAGCGTATGTTAACCCCCGCCCCCGTATACGTACCTGCCCTAGATAAATACCCCTTCATCCTTTTGACTCTGTCTGGTGAAGTCAAGTCCGATAGACATACTCTCTCTCTCTCTCTCTCTCTCTCTCTCTCTCTCTATCTATCTATCTATCTCTATCTCTCTCTCTCATGACCCACACGTATGTGCTCAGGTTGTTGGATGGAAGAAGGAGCATCATGGCAGTTTCTACAGCGGTGACTCCTACATTATCCTGAACACGTACAAGGAGGAAGAGGTACATGCAATACCCATCCGCTTATGCCCTTTTAAGTGGGGTGGGAGCATGTCTCCTGCTCACCAATCCTACTCATCTCAGTAGTGATGGTACCTTTCTATGATGACTTCAAATCCAACTCTGCTGTGTTCGTGATACTGCGTATAAGACACAACAGGTTTTAACTTGTATCTTTAAAAAACCATTAAAAGGTGGAATTTATTCTACAGGGCATACCTGTGACGATTTCCAACAATCAATAGGCTGCGATGAGCAGCAACAAGAATGTGCACTTCTAAAAATTCCAAGTTCGCTCACCTTTATCTCACCTTTATCTAGCACTCCTACGAGTCCTAGGAAAACTGCAGATCTCCTCTTTCCGAATGAGGATCACTATGTGCAAGTTCTACTGCGCAAATAGTCTACAGACGCCTGACATTGCTTTCATTGTCGCTGGAACTCAGTTCCGGCATCGGTCCACCTTGTTGCCTTGCTGCCAAGTCAATTTTGTATCGCAATCCTAGACTGGCTAGGGTACCCCGTAAGGAGACCATAGGTCTGTGGAGACTGCCCTAGAGAAATATGGATAAATATTAATAATTGTGTGCTATCTGGGCTGTATGAATGTATAGGAACTGAAGTATGACCTTCACTTCTGGATTGGCCGCCATTCGTCACAAGATGAGTACGGCACTGCTGCGTACAAGACCGTAGAACTGGATACATTCGTAAGTAGTCAACGCAGCACATTACCGTGGTATGTAATTGTTGCAGTGACAGTTTTTCAGCTAGGATGCATGGAAACCCGGCGGGTCGGCCGTACTATTCTATACTGCACTATTGTCACTAGGAACTGCCAGGCAGTCAAACTCCTTGTATCCGGACTGTCCTGATCTTGATAACGCCAGCAACTGGACAGTCTCCGGATTGCGTGATGCTCTAGGCCACTATGGAATGCTGTATATGTCTGTACTGTGCGCTTGGGTTGCTCCTGAGTTGAGCTCTGACCCGGCAAGTAGTATCATGTATGCATATGTGTTGATTTTGAGCTGTGTATAGTTCCTAGCTACAGATGGAGTCCAGTTCCATGTACTATTGGGTCGGATACTAGTACAGTGGGAGATTGTTTTGTTTATTATGAGTGGAGCTGTGTATATGTTTGCACCTTGCTGGAAATCTCTGGGAAATCCCCACGTTCCACTATTGTCTCTGTGATCACACCGCTACACCTACTTCGCGTATGTATGGCTCATGTACAATCATGCTGGTTGGGTCCAGGTCTGCTGAGCACTTGAGTAACGAACCATCATGTGCTGATACTGTTCAATCCTCTGCTCCATGCCTTGTAACTGTAAGCTTGATGACAAGCCAGTTCAACACCGTGAAGTGCATGGCTTTGAGAGCGACCTCTTCAAGACCTACTTCCCGGCCATGCAGATCTGGAAGGGAGGGTGAGTGAATGATGTAAACGTATCAGATATGAACTGCAATGCCCACGGTTATTTTCATCAGGGGTGAGAAATCCAGCAGGTTGATTACTTTGTGTAGGTGTTCATTACCATGCTTTTTTTTTAACCATAGGAATCCAGCTGTAAGAGTTGCTTGACTCTCTGTTCTTTCTACCCTTGGCTTCTCTTCATTTTATAGAGTTGACTCCGGATTCCGTCATGTAAAGCCTGAGGAGTACGAACCACGTCTTCTGCACTTTTCCGGCACAAGGGTAAGTTAAGTGTAGACCCCACCACAGAGGTTGGATCCGATACACGCATTACCTTAAAACATGCTAACCCAACACAGAGATGTGATCGAGAAACACAGGAAACGGTAGGCGTTTGGTTTCGACCCTTGCAAATAGAGTTTCTGAAGGGAAGGGAGAGAGGGAGATACAGAAAGATGAACAGGAAGACAGAGATAGGTGGACAGGGGGGGGGGAGAGAGACAGGGGGGCTGGGGGAGGAAATGTGATCTTTTTCACTTGGTAGAAGTTTCATAAACCACCATGCAGAGGAGCCCAGCTGAACAATCTCATAATTGGAGAAGGCCCAAGCATGTTTTAAGGATAGTCATTGGCCAGGCAAATGCCAGATTGATACCGTCCAACGTTGTCTATGCATCCACTGTGACTTCCAAGGGAGATCCAGCCTCTTCAGGATGAGTTTGTTTAATTAATTAAAGGCATCTTCATCTTGGTACTCGTGACAGGGCTCAGATAGTTGATATATAAAGTCAATTTCGCCGATTGGTACCAAGAGCCAACTGCTAGAGCTATCAATTTTCCCCGAGTTACAAATTGTTGGTAAGCACGCATTTCAAGCACTTTGAAAGAAGATGCTGCTATTCATGTAGTTCGAAGTATTGACATGATTAATTGTTTGTAAATGATTTATCCCATGCAGAAGAACATTGTCGTCAAGGAAGTTGAACTGCTGAAGGCAAATGTCCACTCTGACGATGTCTTCATTCTTGACTTGGGTCTCACAATCTACCAGGTACGTTCACGGAAGATATAGTTCATGGCTGTTCGTTTTCCATGTGTACAGTACTAAACAAATTATTTAAAAAATCCATGGTTCGCTTGAGACCCAGTTAGACTACGTTTTCAGCATCCGTAGGAGCGCCACCACCCTGCAAAGATCTAAGGTGCATCCGTAGGAACGCCACCACCCTGCAAAGATCTAAGGTGCATCCGTAGGAACACCACCATCCTGCAAAGATCTAAGGTGCATCCGTAGGAACGCCACCACACTGCAAAGATCTAAGGTGCAGATGCAGCTCCTAAAGCGGCGGGAGGTGCGTAGATCAGTCCACCAGAAAGGTGGTCAAAGACCGAAAATCCCATTCACCGCATCCATGTTTCCCTCGTGCCAGGCCACGAGTTCCCAATAAACTGTGGGTCGCAGCACGGCTGGAAAAAATCCTTCCGCAGTACTGAAAGTAATTATGATATAGTCCAGTCTATCACACGGAACAACAAGGCACAACGCTAGTTTGTTGCAACTCTAGTCGGGTTTATCAGGTACATTGTACATACGCCCTATGTGTCCAGAATAACCTGTACACTAGAGCTTCGCATAAACCATCATGTGACCCTGTGCCGAAGCCTGCATAACATTAGAATGTGCCATGACAGGCTATTTGTCACTACTTCTGGTGTGGGAGACATTCTATGAATTTTGATTGCAACACAACATGTGTTTCTTTGCAACCTTGATTTCTGAAAGAACCCCACCAAGAGGGAAACTTGGCACACAGTGGTAATCATTTTGCACTGTCTTCCTTGTTCTCTTGCTCCTGCTTCTACTGCTGCTGTTCACTTTAGTTCAATGGCAAGACAAGTAACAAGGATGAGCGCATGAAGGCCAACCAGTTTGTCACCGAGCTTAAGGTATACCTATCACTTAACTAGCACTGTTCCACCAGGAATGGACATCATCATTGCATACCTGCTATAACCAGTATATTAACGTACTCATAGTCATCCATGATATTGTTTGCAATGTACGCTACCATACCGTTCTTTACATTATCGACTACAGTCAACTTAGCTTATAACGACACTCGGCGGGGCATCAGAAAAGTGCCCTTATTCGCGAAGTGTCGTTATACCCGAAGTCTCATCATGTGTATTACAGCTAGATGGGACGTTGCTCTGGGCATGGAAATTCTGTCGTTATTCGCATATTGTCGATCATGATATCCGCAGTTGTTATTAGCGAACTTGACTGTAGATGTTAATTGAATGTGGGAGCATGACATTCCTCTGCTTTGATCAGCCTCTATGGTGCATGTCTAAGTTTCACATCGTTGTCTTTACAACCAATCTGTGCTCTGTTCAGGGAAAACGTGGAAAGGCCAAGAGCGAAGTCCTGGGTAAGTGAGCGCGAAGACGCTGCTGCGGGTAGGGAATCATTCCGTCCTCGGGTCTTGCTCCAATGGATGCAATATTGCATGGGCACACGTGAACCGCATGCATTGCGCTATGTAATGAACCCTTCAAGTACGTTGCTCATCCCAGAAAAGATTCCTAGTAATGTGTATTCCCTTGCCAATATGAAATGTGTGTGGCTGAAGGTTTTTGGTTCTTCTCCACACCCGTACACACTACTTGTGTTTACATTCGTCTAGTTCTAGTTCTAGTTCTAGTTCTAGTTGTAGTTGTAGTTCTAGTTGTGTTGATATGCATGTAACTTACATGTAGTAGGAATTTCGTTTCCATTCCTAACATGATCAATACTCCTCGGTGTATGTGTATGATGATCAATACTCCTCGGTGTATGTGTATGATCAATACTCCTCGGTGTATGTGTATGATCAATACTCCTCGGTGTATGTGTATGATCAATACTCCTCGGTGTATGTGTATGATCAATACTCCTCGGTGTATGTGTATGATCAATACTCCTCGGTGTATGTGTATGATCAATACTCCTCGGTGTATGTGTATGATCAATACTCCTCGGTGTACGTGTATGATCAATACTCCTCGGTGTATGTGTATGATCAATACTCCTCGGTGTATGTGTATGATCAATACTCCTCGGTGTATGTGTATGATCAATACTCCTCGGTGTATGTGTATGATCAATACTCCTCGGTGTATGTGTATGATCAATACTCCTCGGTGTATGTGTATGATCAATACTCCTCGGTGTATGTGTATGAGCAATACTCCTCGGTGTATGTGTATGATCAATACTCCTCGGTGTATGTGTATGATCAATACTCCTCGGTGTATGTGTATGATCAATACTCCTCGGTGTATGTGTATGATCAATACTCCTCGGTGTATGTGTATGATCAATACTCCTCGGTGTATGTGTATGATCAATACTCCTCGGTGTATGTGTATGATCAATACTCCTCGGTGTATGTGTATGATCAATACTCCTCGGTGTATGTGTATGATCAATACTCCTCGGTGTATGTGTATGATCAATACTCCTCGGTGTATGTGTATGAGCAATACTCCTCGGTGTATGTGTATGATCAATACTCCTCGGTGTATGTGTATGATCAATACTCCTCGGTGTATGTGTATGATCAATACTCCTCGGTGTATGTGTATGATCAATACTCCTCGGTGTATGTGTATGATCAATACTCCTCGGTGTATGTGTATGATCAATACTCCTCGGTGTATGTGTATGATCAATACTCCTCGGTGTATGTGTATGATCAATACTCCTCGGTGTATGTGTATGATCAATACTCCTCGGTGTATGTGTATGATCAATACTCCTCGGTGTATGTGTATGATCAATACTCCTCGGTGTATGTGTATGATCAATACTCCTCGGTGTATGTGTATGATCAATACTCCTCGGTGTATGTGTATGATCAATACTCCTCGGTGTATGTGTATGATCAATACTCCTCGGTGTATGTGTATGATCAATACTCCTCGGTGTATGTGTATGATCAATACTCCTCGGTGTATGTGTATGATCAATACTCCTCGGTGTATGTGTATGAGCAATACTCCTCGGTGTATGTGTATGATCAATACTCCTCGGTGTATGTGTATGATCAATACTCCTCGGTGTATGTGTATGATCAATACTCCTCGGTGTATGTGTATGATCAATACTCCTCGGTGTATGTGTATGATCAATACTCCTCGGTGTATGTGTATGAGCAATACTCCTCGGTGTATGTGTATGATCAATACTCCTCGGTGTATGTGTATGATCAATACTCCTCGGTGTATGTGTATGAGCAATACTCCTCGGTGTATGTGTATGATCAATACTCCTCGGTGTATGTGTATGATCAATACTCCTCGGTGTATGTGTATGAGCAATACTCCTCGGTGTATGTGTATGATCAATACTCCTCGGTGTATGTGTATGATCAATACTCCTCGGTGTATGTGTATGAGCAATACTCCTCGGTGTATGTGTATGATCAATACTCCTCGGTGTATGTGTATGATCAATACTCCTCGGTGTATGTGTATGATCAATACTCCTCGGTGTATGTGTATGATCAATACTCCTCGGTGTATGTGTATGATCAATACTCCTCGGTGTATGTGTATGATCAATACTCCTCGGTGTATGTGTATGAGCAATACTCCTCGGTGTATGTGTATGATCAATACTCCTCGGTGTATGTGTATGATCAATACTCCTCGGTGTATGTGTATGATCAATACTCCTCGGTGTATGCGTTTTACTCTATCGGACACGTAGATGAAGCCGATACGTCTAAAAACCACGAGTTCTGGAAGGCTTTGGGCGATGGAGAGCGTACCTCTAGCAAGGTGTGACATAAGGCCCACAACATGCACAGAAGTTGGATTTATAGCTTTTTGTCATGGAGCATGCTAAATGTAGTCGGCACACCAGCATCGGTTCACAGCCGATACTACCGAATTTCGCTAGGATCAATTGCATATTGGTATGCCTTTGTATGCCTTGCCGGGCAACTGCCAGCTGCACTGCTTTTTCAAAACTGGCGCTCAAAATGTGCTCTGTTTTGTCGCTACCGTAGTCCTAATAGACTTTTGTGAAGAAATATTACAGCCACAGGCTGAGCGTTGGACGACGGTGCCTTCAGTGAATACTTGTGTGAAGCTCCATGAAGTGTTATTCAGTAATGTTTTGGACAAAGCGTTTCCTTCCGTTGGAATCTTGTGAAAGTGCATGTAGATGTGCATTGTAGCATTCTGCCATGACCTACATGTTGCTGTGTTTTGATATCTCTCTGTGATTAGGCTGATGATTCTGATGTGGTCGGATTCACACCCGTCCTATTCAGGTGAGTTAATGCGATTTATTCGTGTAGGTGCAGTTTGAGGAGGAGTTATGTGCATGCATTGCATACATTTGATAATGACAAGGCATATTGATGTGTTTGACTGCTTGAGATGTGCTGTATTTTACCACTAAAACTCTAATACCAATCACCCACATGCACTAACAAGCCAATGCCTCCATGTGTCTTTTAGACTGAGCGATGCCTCTGGAAGCCTGGAGATGACGAAAGTGGCCGAGGGTCAGAAGTTCGAGAAGCCACTGCTTGACACCAACGATGGTGAGTTCAAGCCGAATTCTCATCTGATGCACATGCAATGTGAAATTCTATACACGAGAATACATATTGCCAGCTCCGATGTAATAATTATTATAGTGTATGTGTATGCCATGCCGCTGAATCATCGTTATTCTTTTTAGTGAATACGTAGTGACTGATATGCCCGAAATTGACCAATGGCGTTATATGCATCATAAAAAGATAATCGGCAATGTATGTACAATGCAGTTACACTGCAGTTGCGTGATGTCCCCCACTTTCTGAACGAATGTATGTACTGATGTGTAATTTTGTGCAGTTTTCCTCCTGGATACTGGCCATCAGATGTTTGTTTGGGTTGGAAAGGGTGCCAGCAAGGACGAGAGAGCCAAGGGAATGCAATACGGACATGTGAGTATTTCTAGCACTACTCCGGCTTTGGGATGCCACAGAATCAGCTTGTCATGGATCTACTGCTTCAGTCTCCAGTCCGGGGGTGCTGTTCGTTCCACACTCCATCTTCCGCAAAATTACACACAATCTTACCTGGTTGACTTTGATCCTGAACATTGATTATAAAACTGGGGAGGGGGAGGGGGATTTGTGGGGCATGATCTTCCTGTTACAATCCAAGATTCTCCAGCCCTGAATCTTTTAAAATCTGTCCAACCCCAAGCATCTAACTTACTTCCGCAACCTATACTGTGCCAAATTAGCCTAAGACTGATGTCTCTTGTATTTACCAGTAGATCAAGGCAGCTGTCGTGCCTCTTGCTATACCCATGTGTTATTCACACACTGCCGTCACATCGACCCATGTGTCTGAGAATCGTCCTGAAAAGTGTCTATGCTGTCTTTATCTGCTTGATTAGAACTATGCCATGAAGACCAAGCATCCATTTGTGCCCATTGCCCGCATCGGTGAAGGACAGCATGTTCCAGCTTTCGACAGCATGTTTGCCTAAGTTGGTAAGTGAAGCTAATGAGTGACACATCTACCATATTGAACACATGTGCATGTGCTGCCATCCTTTCGTGCTCTGTAGTACTACCGTAAGTCAACAAATATTCGGCGCATATTTATTTTCGGCTATTTTCGGCCTGGTCATGTTTGGCCGAAAATTTGTTTTTGCAAGGTTCAGTGTGACAGCATAGACAGGTGGCAGCAGTACAGGCCGAAAATTTGATGCGGCCGAAATGGGTTTAGCCCTGGGAGGCCGAAGTTTGAATGGGCTGAAAATGTGTACACTTACAGCCTACTTACAGTATGTGGACAGTGGCAGCCGGATTCAGTGCCAAGGTCGCCCAGTTTTTGCCTGCAACTGCTCCTTGCAAGCCACACTCTGCATGATGGCTCCAACTTGAACACCATGGACTCACACTTCACTTATTATAGTCATGCAAACCACTGTACCATGCACCAGGCAGGTCTTTGAATCCTAGATATAGCTACATGTACATGTATAATGGCGGCCATCGATGCAGGGAAAAAGAGCAATCCACCCGCCAACAACAAGATCAGAGAGCCGCATTATGCCTGTGCCTTGTTGGTGCGGCCCTGACTGCTCTCTCCGTTGCATTCAGGCAGACTTTCTATCTCTTTGCACTTTTCCATGTTAGGAGCTATGCTGATACAGTAATATCCTGAGAAGTCGACTTCCAAGCAAGTTGCAATGCTGTACCCAACCGTGTGCTCTTGATGTGGATGATTTCTGTGCAGGCAAGAACGGCGTTGTTTCTAGACTCATCAGCACTTGGACGTAGAGTGAAGGGCGTCAGTGTGTTACCCGTGGATGCATATCCCCTAGGCCCACAGTCAACGTCACTTTGTCCGATTTTGATCTCAACTTGCACTCTTCGTTGCATCCCAGATTGACTCGATTGGTGTGTGCGTGTTCGTGTTGTCACGGACGTTTTCTATACTCAGTTTTCTCCTTTCCTTCTTTCATTCACAATTTGGTGTCAATGGAAACTGGATTACAATCATTGCACTGTGTACTGCATTGCTTGCGGCCATCCTGGTGGATCTGCGGACACGGAGGCCTGCAATGTATTATCAAGTACAAGTATGCATACCGTATCATACGGTGGCATCTACACACAACCGGCGCAGGCTGGCAGGGCCAGGGTGTGTTGAGAGATCGTGAGGGGCTTTCTATGCTAATGCGTAATGGCTATGTACATGAACATGTACGGGTACTGTTGGTAGCAGATACCACCATCATCCAGGCATGATTGATTGTGTCATGCTGGCATGTACACTATAATAACCTTGTTGTGCGGGTACATTATGTATCCATGGTATCAGACAGTACACTGCCATGTGTCCGCCTACATGACTCAGACCTGAGGGTTAACCGGTTGAAGGCTTGAGGCAACGCATGCTCTACACATGTGCGTGTACATGTATGTACCAGCATACGCCATGATAATGGTTCTTATGATGAGATGATGTCGGGCACTTGTCTTGATGAAGTACTGAGTACACCCTCCTTGAACAGTGATCCAGTTTTAATCTGTTTGATATTGTCACCTTGATTTGGGCCTCACTCAGTGGCTGGACATCCAGCACTCAGTTGAAGTGCATTGTGTTCTGTGAACAATCACCAACCAGCATCAAGTCCGTGCTGTAATCGTGGCGAAGCTGCATGCATGTGCACTTCCTCTTGCATTCTTGTGCTCTTGCATGGGCCTCTGCTGACAAGGTCTACTTCAGAGTGCCCGGTACGCGGACATTTCCAGGTCCTGCAGTAATCCTGTTACCACTGTTGAGGTGCAGCACTCAACACTATAAGTAGGCTACAACACCATTACCCTGGTACACCACAGCAGTACTAGTAGAAGGCACTCCCGGTCCCTATCCTAACTGACCTAAGCAAGTGACTAATTGCTCTACTGCTAACATTGTCATTCACTACTGGCACTGCCGCACCCTAACCTGGTTACGTTTTATAGAGCAGGTCGCAGCGGGAGGGGAAGGTGGTGCAGGTGATGGCGTGACCCATGCACGGAAACCTACGGGGCTTTCCCGTGTGTTTCAGCATGCAAGTCAAGAATCACGGGAAGGACTACCACACCAAAAATGGACAAATCAAATACTTCGAAGTAATCCGGCCTGTGTGGATGCACAGTTGAAGTCTGAAGAAAAAGTAACGGTCTCCGCTTGGATGACAGCACGGCCTACATAATATGTATACTATTAGGCCAAGGGGTAACATTCACCAGGCTACTAATACTAGTACCAAGAGTACATAACCCCTTATTTTGGTTATGTACTCTTGCTAGTATTTCCTGTACATGCCCAAATATGCCTGGAGCATTAATCTTCAGCCAGCATCGTAAGGTTATGCCGACCGTCTGGTCTCAGGAGTTCTTTTATGCCAGAGCATAATTTTTAGACAAAATAATCCGCCATGCAAGGGCTACCACCACATCTGCAACGGCCATACCATACACTGTAGATCTACATGGTACGTGTACGCACCACAACGTCATTCGTCAACACCATTGACCAACCATAATGCCCTTCCGGCCTTCGACAATACACAACCAGGCACCGCCCTTTACAATTTACTCCCTATCGACATCACAATCTAACCTCGTAGTCCCACCTGTTCCTGCTCCGCCAACCCTCCTAGTACTCAAGTCCTAGTCCCACCTGTTCCTGCTCCGCCAACCCTCCTACAATGTAGTCCTAGTTTCTGGTATCTCGAACGTGTCACAAGCATTTACTGGCACCTAAGTCCTCGATCACGGCACCTGTTTTAGTCTAGTCTTATCGATCTCCGTATTGGCGTCTCGCCATCGTGGAATAAAAGAACAATGCATTGTACTAGATCTGTACAGGGTACTCCTCGTCTTGTCTCTCCGTTTTCACAACTCCATTGCCCACTTTGTCGTGGTAATAGTCTAATACCACAGACTGTCCAACCCTGCCACCTTTCCAAAGCAGGACACCTATAAAATGTATACAAAGGCAATTGTCTCCCATGTAAATGTACATGTACACAAATGTTTTGGTCCAAAGTAGGACTATCCTGCTCAAACTCAAAGCAGGAAGGTGGGACAGCCTGATACCAAGACTGCGGCACAATTATGTGACATAATAATAATGGTATCTTCAAGTCATGTACTACTCTTATCATCAACAAACCATCGGCATTGCCGGGCATACATGTAGGAGAACAATCAGAATCATCGCCTCCTTCTGTTGTGATCAATGCGTTGTAGATCTACACATGGTAGATACACAAAAAGGGGCCGCCTCGATGATTAGCAGAGCGCCAACGGATATTATGACATGCTGCTGCTTTTATGTTTCCGACGTTCGCGTTCTTTACATCCGTGATCAGCTACGCTATGCATGGTAGCAAGATGTACTCTTGATGGTAGGTCTACACGGCCCGGCGCCATACACGGGAAATGGGATATGAGCCGACTGCCGAACCGGACTGTAAATTTCGGCAGTGTGCCTTGCTCCACAAGCTGCAACGCGAGCGCCTGGCCAGTCCTGCTCAGCTGGACACAGCCAACACTAACACAAAGTAACAGCGTAGATGTAACACTAACACTAGTAAGAGCGTAGATCTATCTAGCACAGAATGATAGTCGTCACTGCCAACACTGCACAGACAGCTCCTCTTTCCTTTCCTGTGGAAGCCAGTCGGTGCTACAACATTAATTTTCTACAAGACCATGGCCGTGGTCGTGGACTCTACTCTGCGGCGGGCCAGGACAGTACAGGGCCAGATACGTAGAAGGCAACGAAGGAACGTCTTGTATCAGTGAGTTGAAGCCGAACGAAACAACCAACAACTACAAGTAACTATCTTGCTCCCGCTGTTTGCAGGCCAAAGGAAGACAACGTGGAAAAGGCAAAGCACTCGCCGTCACCCGCGTGTATCGGGAGATACTACCCCGCCGCTCTCCGCTAATCATGCTGAAAGGCAAGGATTATACCTGGCAGCAGAGTAACCTGTCAATAGTCGGCACTGATTTGGAAAGGAATGTAAGTGCTCGTTCGGATCCGTGCTCAGCCGCTCCGGTCTTGCTCAGTGTTGAAGGATGTTCGCAAGGTAAGGACCTTCCCTTTCGCTTCTGTTTGTTTCGCAGGTGAAAAAGGCTTCTGCTGAGACCGAGCAAGCTTGGCAAGGTGCTGGCAAGGATGTCGGGCAGCAGATATGGCGCATTGAGAAATTCAAGGTACGAACCGTCACGGGGAAGAAACGCTTCGTGACGGCTATACCCCCATGCATTGTACCATGTATACACACAATCACGCACACACACACGCACGCGCGCGCACACACACATACACACGCACACACACACACACACACACACACTTTATAATAGAACATGCAGCTGTCACATTCTTACCATGTATGGTAACATAGATGCAGAGGCTTGCACTGCTCCTCCAAACTGCATCTCCCCATGCATTAGTGCTGGAGACCGAGTACATGTACTATTACTTTCAAGCACTGCACTTTGCAGCTAGTAGTACTACATGACGTACATTCAAGTGCCTGGTACAATGCAGTGTGGCATCATACAACGTCATCATCCGTTTGTGAAAAATGAGCACAGTAGACCAAGAGCATCTTGAAATGATGTCACAGGGGAAAGTATGACCTGCCAAACCTTTCCTAATGAGTGAAAACCGCCCTCAAGTAATGAACCACTCCCAAAAGATTCCATGCAATCTCAGCACCATCATTTCCAGCACCATCATTTCCAGCGCCAGTCACGTGGGCGCGGAGGCTTTAACACGCCTTTAACACCATGAATAACCTTGCCAAAACCTGCAGCGCTGTTCATTTTGCCGCCAGCAGATACGTGCCTGAGATCTTAGTATCAAAATTAATATCTCCGCACTGAGTATCTCGGCACTAAGTGCATGACTGTAATGATGTGCATGATATGTTTTTATCCCCCTTGCACGCGTATCTCATCTCTGTGCTCATCCCATGTCTAGTGAGCAGTGATTTCTTGTAAAGCAAAACATACTATCAGCACACAAAGCACAAAGCGACTGAGAAAATCGATGATGCTTGTTTCCAACCATTACTCTTCAGAATTGAAGAGCAATGGCAAAAGGCCTCAGGCATCGGATTTACTCATTTTTGTGCTAAGTACGCTAATAAGTCTACCTCAATCAAAATCTCTATTATTATAGCATAAAACTAAAATTAATATAGATCGACATGTACACATGTACAAGCAATCTCCGGCAGTGACATACAGTTTTTGAAAAGATGTTGAGATTATTCTGTACTCGGAAAACCGACAGGCTCAGCCATTTTGTCTTCGAGACATCATTTTAGGGGTGATATAAAATACCTTTGCAAATAGTTGAAATAGATTTGCAAGGAAATTGCCAAGTGATGGCGCTGAGATAGCTCGCGCTGAAACGATAGCGTGAAATGGCAAGTCGCCAGATGTAAGACCTCTCACGCTGTCTTCAAACAGTTACGCTATACACCCAGTCTCCTATTTGCTGGAGTGTTGTACACTGTCACGGTACTGCACTCGATCTGTGAACAGTACACTGTACTGTGATGTTAGAGCTAAAATGCAATTTTGACAATGGGATGATCCTGTTTTGGCACCAGCTGGCACGTGACATATGGAGGATTTTGGTGTTGCTCTTTGCATCTCTCACTGTAAGCCTGATGGGTGTTTTCTCTGAAGACCAGCCTGTATACAGTAGGCACCAGGGCACTGCACAGCCCTTGGTGTGAACTAGTCACACCGTTGTTGATAGCCTAGGTCACAGGTGTGGTACAATCCTGTAGTAGTACAAGACCGTGGCTCTACTACACTTTAGTATCCCCACTTCCCAGGCAGTGAAGCAGCGAGTCATTTGTCCAGCAGGAACTAACTTTGTAAAAATTGTATGGACCTAAGTTACTTCTATGGGGAGATGATGATAGTCACAGCATGAATGCGGATGTATTGGACATGACATCAGGTACTAGTACACAGAGTTTGTCTTATGCCTAGGATAGTCCTTCTTTCTTTCTTTTTAAGTCACCTGCCATCCGTCTTGTGCCACTCAATCAACTTAAGGAGGTGGCATCTGTTGTAACTTACTCTTTCATGCTTGTAGCACACAACAAGCAACACGATGAGTAGTTAGTTTAAAAGCTATCTTGGCGAAGGCTAGAATAAGAATGAGCTGAGCTTGTCCAAGGTAAGGAAGTAAGGGCAAGCAGCCATGATGGAAAATACCGTAGACAAGCGCAATGCAGGCAGCAAGATAATACGCAGCGGGAGAAATACGCAGCTACGGTGGAATCGTAACAAAGTGATTGCAGTCTGTAACAGCCTCCAACCGCTTTCTTGCTTACTCCATTGAATTTTGAACCTTGGAATAGGCCATCTGCAATATCCTGCACAATCGGCAACCCACTGACAAACAACTGTGGCTGTATGCGGGACTGCATTAGCAACCTCCAGCCCATTCCTAGGTTGATTCTAGCCTGGCTTAGGGTTTCCGTTCCTGGATATCTTTCCAACGCAGCTCGGCATGCCCAAGCAACTAAATGTGACTGATGGGATCGGAGTACCCATTTGGTGACAAATGCAGAGATGGGAGATGAAATGGCAAGCGCAAACAGACTCGACAAAATTAATCTTTTCGGCTCAAGGAAAGCATCAATAAAAAGGGATTTTCGTCGAGTGGGGACGTACATGGAAAGTGGTTCTTAAACCAACCAGATGCCAGGCCATGACAGCCACCCTCGGCCTCAGATGCGCCGCCAGCTTAGACCCCGCCCCACACACACACACTCCTGTTTGGTGGCACACTGGTACCCGAGACAACCAGCATCACCCTCCTCGGTGTGAAGGTGGATGCCAAGTTGACCCTTAGCGCTCACCTACGCTCCGTAGCCACCCGTGCACGCCAACGCCTTGGGATCCT